GTTGGGGGTGCCCTTGGAAAACAGTGGCACCCGGAAGGCCGGGAGGCCGCGCGGGATCCTGCCCGTGAGCGTGAAGGGCTGGGAGCCCATCACCTGGAAGGAGTAGGCAACCAGGCCGGCAAAGAGGACCACGAGGGCGTTGCGAGCTGCCGTGGAGAGAAGATCCCTGCGGTAATGGTGACGCGGCACTGGGTGCAGGAGGGAGAGGAGGAGGCAGGTCCCTGGGGGGCAGCACCCCGCGGGTGCTGACAACGGCATTCCCGGGGCAGGAGCATCCCGGTGCCTTTGCCCCCTGCCCAACCTCGGCAGATCCGGGCGCACTCGCCCTCCTGCAGCCCCGCTCCAGAAGAGGCCGAGGCCCCGGGCAGGCCATGGGAGAGGGCGAGGGCAGAGAGGCCAACGCACCCGTGGCAGAGGTCCAGACGATGCGATAACTGACCCTGGCGCACAGCGGCTCCGCGCTGGCCACTCTGCGGAGGCCACTCTTCATTGCCCCGAGGACCATGAGTGCCACCAGGCAGGTCAGCCCCAGGGCAGCGTCCCCAACTCTGCAAACGGGTCAGACCCACAGGAACCCACACGTGCTGGGGTGCCCGGGGCGGCAGGAGCAGCGAAGGGGCAGGGACAGGTGCTCACCTGGTCTCTCCGATCCTCCTCAGCGTTTGATAGACCTGCAGGAAAAACTGCCGGGGGATTCCCTGCAGCCCCAGGATGTTCTGCACAAGAAGGGAAAGGCTCATGACGCCCCGGGCAATCCTGGCTCCGGGTGTCCTGGAGCAACAGCCAGAAGCGCGGGGGCTCGGCAGCCCCCACCGCCAGCACCCCAGCCCTGATGCCTCCAGCAGCTCGTCGCAGAATCACTAGCTGCAACCGCAGCCATTGGCCAATCTCAGCCCTCGGGCCTCTGGCGAAGCCACATGCCACCTGCCCAGCCGCCTGCTTCTGGTTAATCACAGAGGACGGAAGCGACGCTGCCGGCGGAGCCCGAGCGCCTCTGACCCGGACACAGCGGCAGGGGCCCGGGCAGCCCCCCGCGAGCTGCCCCAGCCGCGCATCCCGCGAGTCGCCTCCATGCAGCGGCCGGGCCAAACATGCCCTGGGCTTTCCCTGCGTGTCCCGAGTGCCGGCAGCCCTCGCTCCCGGTGCTCACCGGGGGACTAGGGGGGCTCAGAAGCTGCAGCAATGGGACCCACGGGCCCCTTGTGCCCCTTTCTCTGCCACCCAGCCCAGCACCCAACATCCCTGCTCCGCAACAGCAACCAGAACTGCAGAGAGAACCAGCAGCTCCTACCTTGACCTGGTTGAAGCTAATGGTGATGGAAGCTGCTGAGGTGAAGCCTTTAATGACCGGGTAGGATATAAAGTCCAGGAGAAAGCCTGCATGGGACAGGGGTGACGCTGGTAGGGAGCTGCGGGGAGGGCAGGCTGTTTGCCCACATGCAGCGCTGCCGTGAGCACCAGGACAATCCCGAGCCTCAGAGAGCACAGGGAGCAACGCCGGGATACAGGATGCCCTGGAAGCCCGGCCACGGAGCTCACCAAGCTGCAGGAGCCCCATGGCCAGCTGGATGCAGCCCGACAGGAAGGTGAGCAGCACCGCGTAGACGGGGTCATGGAAGGCGTAGGAAGAGACGAGCAGGGACATGATGGCCGTTGGACCCAGCGTCACGTCCTTGGCAGTTCCCAGGAGGCAGTAGATGAAGCAGCCCATGAAGGAGGAGTAGAGACCATACTGCACGGAAGCAATAAAAGCGCTCAGCTCCACACTGCTCGGAACCATGGAGCGCTTCCAGGAGGCTGCACGGAGGGAGGGCTGCTTGGAAATTCCTCTGGAGCCCACAGCCCATCCTGAGCAACCACTCTGCACCCAGAGCTTCGTGTCCCACAAAATGCACAACGGCGTCGGCTCAGCCTCCGGGCTCCCAGCGCGTCCACCGCTCCCGCACGCTCCCGTGCAGCCCCTGTCCCCTGCAGAGCCCTGCAACAGGGACCAACTGCATCCATCCGAGACAGAGCTGGGGGCTGCCGTGGGGCACGGTGACACACCTGGACGGGCAGCCCGGCCACCTCGGCGTACGCCAGCGCCTGCGGTACCACCGTCAGGCCCACGGGCGCT